AATTTACAAGAGTCCAAACTTGAATCCAAAGGGGGAGAATGTTGGGTTCAAGATTAGTGCTAAAATGTTGTATTCAAGTTTCTCCATTTACTTAGCTTTATTGTAATTAGTTTAGCTTTATTTTCCTTAGTATAAATAGTCTTTCCTTTGTAATTGTAATTACACATTGATTACATCATTAATCAGAAAAAGGTGATTTGACAGCAAAGTAATTCTCTCTCTCCAATCTATCTTGAATTCATATTTGTTCTTGAGATTTGATGAAGATTTCTTCAAGATTCGTATGAAATCTGGACTTTTCATGTTTTGCTAGATGAACAATTTTCCAAATTAAATTTCTTCAGGATATCAAAAATATATTTTGTTTGACAGATAAAAATTCTTGAAGATAATTGTTTGACTTGAAGTCCTAAAAAGAAGTTCATCTCACCCATCATACTCATTTTAAAATAAGAAACCATTAAGGCAGAAAAGTTTTTGCAGTATTTTGGGTTCGTATATCCAAATATTATGTCATCTACATAAATTTGTATCAAAATAATATCCGACTTCTCCTTTTTAATAAAGAGTGTTGTGTCAATATTACCTTTCGAGAAACCTGATTTTACCAGAAATTCTGATAATATATCATACCAGGCTCTCGGTGCTTGTTTAAGACCGTATAAAGCTCTGTCAAGGATGTATACATGATCCGGCTTTTACTGATCCACAAAACCCTCCGGTTGAGCATCATAAACTTCTTCCTTGAGAAGACCATAAAGGAATGCCGTCTTGACGTCCATCAAGTCCACAATGAAATTCTTGTGTGTAGCGTACGCTAGAAACATTCTTATAGCTTCAATCTGTGCTACTGGGGCAAAGGTTTCATCGTAGTCAACACCTTCTTGTTGATTGTATCCTTTTGCGACGAGCCGGGCCTTATTTCTGACAACAAGACTGTAACACCTCCAAATCTATACATTGCATATAACACATATATTATAACACAGCTCAAAAATTCGAAAAGTACATGCTTCTTGTATCTTGACATATAATATTCAAAATATGGCTAATCAAGATCTTCATATTGCAAAACACATAGGGAAGTAATTTACATAATGCTTTTCCCTTATTCTCATTACCTGCACACATATTTTTGAAAATACAAAATGAGGGTTAGACATGAATGTCTAATGAGGTTTCTTTTTTATGTAATGCAGGGTGTAAATCACCAAAACATTTATTTGAAATATATCATTAAAATCTTAGAGATAGAATCACACGGTTCAAGTCCATCGAGCCTCTGATTTTCAAAACAGAATGGAATATATTTCAAGAAACAGGACCAGAGCCCCTCTGGTTCTTCTACCAGAGTTTCTAGTTTTTCGATCAGAGCCTCTGGTTGTACTAACCAGAGCTTCTGGTTCACGTAATTTCTTAGTGTTCTTTCGTTAAGCTTTTATTCAAATAAGATAGCCTTTTACAAAAAGAATAGCTATACAGAGCTCTTACTCAACCAGAGCCTCTGGTTGTACTAACCAGAGCTTCTGGTTCAAAAGTTATGACCAACCAGAGCCTTAGGTTCAACGTGTAAGTCGACCAGAGCCCCTCTGGTATGTCTTTCACATAAAATACTAAGTATAAAATCCTTTTTCTCAAAACTTCTTAAAATATGGTTTTGACACAAAAACTTTTATCAATAGATACAAAGCCTCTGGTCCAGCTAGTATGTTTAGTAAAAATTTGCATATTCCTCAAATCAATAACAAAAACCCTCTGGTCCAATAGTGAGGACCAACCAGAGCATCTCTGGTTCCTCATAAGGTGTTCCTTCTGTTTCAAAACACTTTTAACCAAAATTAATGACCATAGGCCACATTTTTCTTGTAATCATAACATCAATACTACTATTTCCAATAAGAACAACATCTCTGAATCTTCAAATCACCAAGAAGAGAGAACTCAAATATGTTTTAATCTTATTAGATATAATAGCAAGAGTTATATCATGCACACACACACACAACGATCATCCTTATTACATCCATAAATCCCCTGTTTATAGCAATAGCTATCCATCACACACAACGACCATCCTTGTTTCCCCTGAAATTTATACGAACTATTTCATCCAATGATAGGGAGTGAACCTCGTTCATAGTTTTTAACCAAATCATAATCTCAACATAGGTTTGTATTCAAACCCTTCAAACCGTAAGAACAATTTGTTCTACATATGATTTCTCAATCATCTGTTTTTGCTTAAATCCTCGAAAATAGGGTACCAAATCCACAACTGTTTCCTCAAACGCGGTTTCTGCTCAATCTTTTCAAAACAAATTCAAGTTCCAATTCACAAAATATTTTCTTTTAAAACCGTTTAAAACAGTTTTACCAGATTTTTTAAAATTTCAAACCGTCAATACTCCACAATTCACAAAGTCAAACAGTAGGTGAAGCTCGCAGTTATGAAAATAGTAGTAATCAAAAACTCTCCTTGAAACCACAAATTCTGCAGGTTTTAATCCCACAAGGCTTTCTTTCAACCGCACTAGGATTCTTTCTCAGGAACACTCTACCGCCTCTACTCTGTTTCTCTTTCAAAAGTATTTTCAAAATAAAAAGGATTTCATAATGATTTTATCTTATCCCTTTCTTTTTATACTCCGAATCAAGGCAGTGAAAGCTTTTAACCAATAAAACTATTTTAGGTGGTGGTTTTATTATTATAAAACTCATAATTTCTTAACCATGAAGCTATGCAGATTTTTAATTATAATAATATTTTCACAAATATCTTATCGAATGTATGCACCATCTCATGTAGGTTTCACATATTTCATGTGGGCATTATGCTTTTGCACATATTTACTTCATGCGTTTATATTAAAATAATATGCTTGGTAATCACGTAATTCAAGTATTATCACATAAGGTTACCTTGACCTAGGTTTGTAGAAGACCCGGTTATAACATTTTCTCCCCTTTAAAAGAATTTCGTCCCGGAATTCACTCAAATAGCCAAGGGTATTGGGTTCTCATGTCAGATTCTAGTTCCCATGTTGCTTCTGAACCCTTGTGAAAATGCCACTGTACCGTTACCAAACTAATCTCTTTATTTCTTAAGACCTTGGTCTTTCTGTCAGTTACTGCCTCTGGTGTCTCGATGAAATTCAACTTGTCATCAAGTTTGATCTCAGGAAGTGGTATTGCTAGACTTGGGTCTGCCAAACACTTATGTAGATTTGATACATGAAAGATGCTATGAATTAGACTGTGTTCCTCTGGTAGTTCCAATTTATAAGCTACCGGCCCAATTCTTATGCAGATTCTGAATGGTCCAATATACCTTGGACTGAGCTTTCCTTTCTTCTCGAATCTCATAATACCCTTCCATGGAGATACTTTTAACATCACAAAGTCTCCCACATTGAATTCAATCGGTTTCCTTCATTTGTCGGAATAACTTTTCTGACGATCTTGGGTAGTCTTAATTCTTGTGAGAATTTGTTCAATCTTTTTAGATGTTGTTTGCACAATTTCAGGACCTGTTAACTGCTTTTCCACTACCTCATTCCAACACAATGGTGTTTGACATTTTCTTCCATACAAGACTTCATAAGGTGCCGCTTGAATGCTGGAGTGATAACTGTTATTGTAGGGAAATTCTATCAGTGGTAACTGTTCATCCCATTATCCCCCGAAGTCGATGACACAAGTTCTCAACATGTCTTCAAGAGTCTGGATGGTTCTTTCACTTTGTCCATCTGTTTGTGGGTGATAAGTCGTACTTAATCTGATTTGTGATCCTAAAGCTTTTTGCAGACTTTCTCAGAACCTTGAGGTAAAACGACGGTCTCGGTCAAAAATAATGGATAATGGAACACCATGTCTAGTCACAATTTTCTTGATGTAAATTTGAGCCAATCTTTCCAATGAACAAGTCTCTTTCATTGGTAGGAATTGTGCAGACTTTGATAGACGATCTACTATTACCCAAATTGCATCATATCTTTTTGGTGTTCGGCGTAATTTCATAATGAAGTCCATCGTAATGTGATCCCATTTTCATACCGGTATTTCTAGTGATTGTAGGTTTCCATAGGGTCTTTGGTGCTCAATCTTAACTTGTAAACAAGTTAGACATTGTTCCACATATGCCGCTATATCTTTCTTGAGACCTGGCCACCAATAAAATACTTTCAAGTCTCTGTACATTTTGTTGGTACCTGGGTGAATTGAATAACGGGACTTGTGACTTTCTTTCAGGATGGTTTCTCGTGTATTACGATAGCTTGGTACCCATATTCGGCATTGGAAACATAATATCCCTTTAATGTTTGGCTCCATACTGGAAATCATCTTTCCCACCTTTTCGGATTTCTGGTTCTCTTCTTTAACAACTTCTTTCTAATTTTTCAAAATTGCTTGGTGAAGGTCTGGAGTTAAGTAGATTTTCATTGCTCTGATGGT